AGCGGAAGAGCTCTTTGCCGGGGGTCGGCTTGGCATCGTGTTGACATAGGATGTTAGCTCTGGGTAAGAGTCCAACGTGCTCAGGTCAAAATCTCAAAAAGACTGCGCTCTCTTAGCAGTAACAAAGTCGCCCAGTGATAAATAGAGTTTGCGGTCTTTACTGTTGCTTTAACACAGCACAAATAAGCAAAAAAGAGAAACAACCTGAGTGACCTGTGACATCGCACACCGAGGAGCACCATCTTCTGAACAGTATATTTCCCTTTGTTGTGATTCATATATAAATTTACCACTTTTCTTTTTCTGTTCTTTCCAGATTACAGATTTTGTTCAGCCTTTGTGTAAAGTGGTCAGAGTGCTGGATGGTGAGTGCCCTCAAGATGTGTCTCAGTGTGGACCTTTTAGGTGGGAGCTTATTGCCAACCTTACTGATGGAAATGGCACCGGGATAGAAACCATCTCCCTGATCGAAGGCAATGGATCCCTGTCATACACCACCCTGACTGCTCCTGCCATCCAAGCAAACTACAGTGGCTCCTGCTGCTCGCAGATTGTTAAATTTGCAGCTGTAGACAAAGTTGGCAATGTGGGACACTGCTATCATTCAATTGTTCGTTCAAGTGGCCCTCCTGCTTTGATTCTCTCACTGCCATTGTGGTTGTGCCTGCTGACATCTGCTTTTGTAGTAAGGCCTTGAAGCGCTTCAGTGAGCTTGCTCAGATACCCTGCTTAAATGAAATATAAACACAGATTAAGCAATGGATAATGAATAAGTGGCCTTAGGATCAAAAGACATGAAATTTCAGTGTACAAGGTTTACTTTTGGTGTCGGGGACCAAGCAGTAAAGCTCCAGGACACCTGGTGTGGACGGCAAGAAAAAGTAACACATTTACTATTTAACTGTCACAAAATATTGAAAATGAAACACTAGGAAAAACTGGACCAAAAATAAATTTAAACTAGGACGCTGTAACTTAAATTGAAGTCAGCTAAATAAACTTAAGACTGAACTTAAAATAACTCACTCAACAACTGAAACAACAGGATTGGTATATACTAGGAATTCTCTACTTAATGCCCCACTTTTGGTTGTTAAAAAATGTCCATAAAATAACCTATTCAGTGCATGTGTTTAATGTATTCAGGGTCATGGAGCTTTTACTGACACAGGATTGTCGCCGCATCTGAGGAAACATTAGCTGGCTGGCTAGACAACAGTGTTTAAATACAGAACTCGTGAGGCGTCACTTCCTGATGATGTCTCACGAGTGGTGTCATTATATTCAAACATAACTGGTCATTGAAATTATACATTTTAATTTTATTAATTTGTGAACCCGAGCACATTTAGTAAACACCTAGGTTTGTAAATGACAAAAAAATATAATTTTAATCTAATCCTTTGCAGTACTACTCCACAGCCCACTGATTGAGAATAGCCGATATATACTGTATGTTAAAGGCTGGCATTAGTAGACACACAGAGGGGCAGGACACACATCAACTACACCTCTACAAATTAAAGGAAGTATTTAGAAACCTAATCAAACAGTCAAACCAAAAACAACAAAAGCCCCAGAATGACCTTAACTTGCATCAAACCTGGCAAACACTCACTTCCGCTTCCTGTCTTCTCAAAAGAAGCTTCATCTTTCTGCCAAGAGAACTTTGAAGATCAACACAAGAAATAGTAAAACAATTTAACCAAAAGTAACTCAAAGTACAGTATACTGGCTTGAATGTGTGCACTCAAATGACATAAAATGCCAAAATAAAGTGATCTGAAAGAAACCTAAAGACTTACGTGGTCATTACATAAAATGTTATAACTGTGCTAAAAAAAGAAAAACTATATAACATGGTGTTGCTGTAAACAAAAATCTTATTTGGGACAATTCTTTGTTTTCACATGTGGTCTGAGGCAGCAGATAACTTTTTACCTCCAGAATAATGTGCCAACAACTTTTTTCTAGAGTGCTAGAATAGATATATTTTTAAGAGAGGCAGTGTGAAGGCATAAAAAGTCTGTGCAATCTGCATTATCTGAGCATGAAGCAAGAGCATTCTCTTATTTTTGTCACATTTAAACACATTTACCAAGGACAAATGTATGCATGTAAAGCAATTTCTTTTCTGTGGACACCCAGTACTGGTAGAATAAGCTGGTTTCTTTTAACATTTTGAAAACCAATCCAAGAATGCTGAGAAAGAAATGGACAGAGACTTTCTCTGGGTATATGGATCTTCTTAGAACAGTTTGGGTCACATGCTCAGAGTAAGGAGAACCTGATGGCAGAGAGTGCAGCAGACTGGTACTGCTGAAGAGCAGGAATTACTATGGGAACAAAAAGATGTATATAACATACAGTATAATATTTTTAAATAACATACTAAATGATCTGAAATGCCACTGCCCTCACTGAAGAAAATGACCAACAATGCCAAAAATAAACATATTTAGTGACAAAGTGCATGAGTATGTTACTCCAACATGTATATTTATTACCTGTTTTCCCATGACAGACCCCCTTCCCCCCCAAAAAACAAATTTAGAATATATACAATTTCTTAAACAGGAGTTACAATTACAAAAGAAGCATGGACCAATATTATCTAGTTAAACTGTACCTAGCACTTAAAGAATGGGAAACCAGCTTAGCAATGATAACTTTAGTTAGACTTTGAATACATCCCATCTTCTGCACAACAAACAGGTGAAGCTGAGCTCCAGTGCTCCTTATGGGGCAGCATTAAGATGAAATCTTAAGGTGTGTTCACACTGAACATGAAGCCATATTGAAAGGCAACATGAAAGCAGACAAAGTTACTGTATGTAAACAGATAAAATTTGATCAAGGTGGGACCTATGCATCTGCTCAAAAACAAAGTATGTCAACTTGAGTGAAAATCAAACTTTTTCCTGAATGACAGCAACTTTCCACTGTGCTTCTCCTCAGAAGGGGAGAAGAGCTACACAACGTGGTGCTCCGGGGGATTGAGAGTCGTCTCTCATTTGTGCTACTGTATATGCTGGAAACGACTTTGGAACGATTACTGGAAAAACGTTCAAATTGTCAAATTCTCACAAGATAAGAATCTGCTTCATGTCGAGTATGAACACACCTTTATAAGCCTTGTCTGAGGGGGTAAATTACGGCACAAACAGTACAATTGACCCTGATTACCATTTTTGTAACCACAGCAGTAAAAAGCTATATAACAAGAGAGAAAGCAGTATCATCTAAATTGTATAAACAATTCAAATTATTGACATTTTTACTTACAATTCACTTTTACCTGCATGTACTGTCCAAAGTTCTGGCTGGAACAAGTAACAAAATGCACCCTTTAGAGTTGCATCTTGGTGAAGAGTGAAAGTGTGTCATATAAAGAAAACAAAACAAAACAAAAAACAATAAATTATTCCTATAAGTAAAAATTATCCTTAATTATTTTTTCAATAAAAATAAGACAAATTAACCCTTCATGTTTCTCAAAGGTCACAACTTCAAAAGTTTTCTTTAGTCTAACAGTGAAAACTTCCAATGTTTCTTTTAAAATATTAAATGCAGAAAACCATGATGAACTATATCATATCAAATGACTAAAGTGATGTCAGAAGAGCAAGAGATTTAAACATGTCCGACAGTATCGTAAAACTGGGTTATTTGTGATGAACCAAGATAAAGCGTGACACCCGTAAAATGCAGATGTTGACAAAAATGCCCATGTCCAAAACAGCTGTTTCATGCACATGACAAAGCTATCCCATTACTGGCCATTGAGTAAGGGTGTCATACAACAGGTTCTTGTTTGATCTTACAAGTCTGGTAATATCACTTCAAATAAATTCAAATATTTTAATAAGCAAGAAAAAAAGAAAGTTTTTTTTTTTTTTACAATTATATTCATAGCAACCAACCTTATTTTAACACTTTAACATGTTTTTCTTTACTGGCATCCACTTATTTGCCTGCAGAGACTATACAAGTATGGAGCTGGGCCAAGCTGGCATCTCCAGAGCTTAAAACATGTCTACCACTATGTCTGGAGAGAAAGAGAAGAATGAAAGAACAAAAGAAAGGGGAAAAGGGACACTAAAAAGTCACATACTGGAACAGATGTTGATAGAAATGGTCACAGCACATAATGAACCTCTATAGCTACCACAATATAGTTTTTTCTTTTAAAATAACTTAAAACAATACACATCAAAGTCCAACAGTTTTAAATGTGCAGCTTTCAGTGTCACCTCTTCGCTCCAGCTACAGATATAAGGGCAACTGTGACTTTATCTAACTCTCAGCAAGAAAGCACATAGTTTTCCAGAACATTTATTTTACAAATTCACAGCATCAAAAGAAGGATTCTGGTCCCAACTACTCTTACATTACAATGCCATCATTATTTTAATGGACACCAGAATGGCATCTATGTTCATCAGTCACTGGATTTTATGTACATTTTTAACATGTTTTTTCAGGTGGCCTGATTGTGTGAAGTGCTTGGAGCAGTGTGGGCAGGAATGTGGTTTCTCCCCTGTGTGGATATACTTGTGCCTTTTTAGGTTATTGTAGTCTAAAAATCCCTTTCCACAGTATGGGCACCAGTGTCTCTTCTCCCCATTGTGCCACCTCAAATGCACATTTAGTTCTACTCTCCTCGTGAATTTTTTTTCACAGAGGTTACAGTGGAATGGTTTCTCCCCAGTGTGAATCCGTATGTGGGTTTCCACATCCCGCTTTGTGAAAAATCCCTTGTTGCAGATCTGGCAGACAAAAGGTTTAATCCTGCTATGCACCATCTGAATGTGTTTGGTGAGGCCAAAACGGTAGACAAAGCCCTTCCCGCACCGCGGGCACACATGGATCCTACCATTGCGGTGCACACGGCCATGTCGTTTGAGGCCCTTGGAGTCTGGGAAGCTCTTCCCACAGAACAAGCATGAGAAAGGTCGGCGTCCTGTATGGAGACTGACGTGGCTTTCCAGAGCAGCAGTGCTGCTGAGGATGCGACCACACTCCCCACACTGGTTCTTCAGAAGACGCCAACCAATGACTGACAAAGGCTGTAATGGTGATACAATAGGTGGTGCTTTCACAGGTATGGGATGGAGAGAAACACTAGGGGGGTAAACCACTGTATGATTCTGGGTTGTTGAGGATCTTGTCTCTTTCTTCTCTTCTAAGTTGGGTGACTTCTTTCCCCCTGCTGAGGGTGTTTTACTGACTGGCATTTTGGGAGGAATCCACACACCTGTAGTCGTACATTTTTTCACAACCTTACAGTCAGCTTGGTTCCCTGGTAACTGGGTTTTAGCTCCACCCTGCAATTTTAATTGACTAGGATTTTTCATTTTAGCTACTGCCTTGGCTTTTGCTGCTGTACTTAACTTAGCATTCACCACTTTTAAACTCCTTTTAGGACCAGTACTATCTTGAAGTAATCTGGGTTTCTTAGCAGGAGTGGATTCCCCACTCCTGATCCTTTTAGCACCGACAACATCTTTAGGCCATCTAGCACTCGGGAAACCAGTTCCACTCTTCGTTTTTTTAGTAAAACTACCATTTGTAGTTACACTATGTCTCCTAGGACTGACAGAATTGGATTCTCTTTTAACCTTTTTAGGGCTAGGAGAAATCTTTGTAAAGGTGGAACTCCTAAGGCTGCCAGAAATCAATTCTTTACTAGACATTTTAGTAACTCCTTCCTTTTTACTTAAACTAGACATCCTAGCACTAACAGATGTATTCTTTTTAGGACTAACATCTTCTTTATGTGAACTAGACCTATCAGGACTCACAGAAGTGGATCTGGTCTGTTTAGGGCTAGCACCATCTCTAGTTGAACTAGTCAACCTAGGGCTCACAGAAGTGGATTCTCCATTTAAGCTTGCACCATCTTTATCTGAAGTAGACCCTTTAGGACTCACTGAACCAGAGTTCTTATTTTCAGAGCCTATACCATCTCTACGTGAACAAGACCTCCTTGGACTCACAGAGGTGGATTCACTAGTAAACTTTAGCCTTCTAGGACTGACAAAAGTTGGTTCACTAACACTTATCTTTGGACTAATGTCATTGGTACATGGTCCAGATTTCCTAGGACTAATGTGACTGGGGCCATTAGTAGTCTTATTGAGAAATGCAACATCTCCAATCACACATGGCTTTTTAAGGTTAACAGGAATAGGTTTACTGGTTGTGTCTTTATTAGTGGGATCATCATTCTCTATTCTAGGCTTCTTAGAGCCTTCAGCTGTGGTCTCTGCTGCTATGCATGGTTCTGAATTTGTTTCAGTTCTACTTTGCAAGGGAGTTTTGGTTTGACTTCGTAGTTGGGCCACGGGGGAGTTTTTCTGTGACCTTTTCTTGCCTGTAGTACTAGCAGAAGCTCTAGCATCCGTAAAGTTATTAGTAGAGGCCTACAAGAAAGAAGACAAATAAATTTAGCAAAACATACATTGCAGACCTAGCCCAGTTTATGGAAAAATACTAATACAGTCATGCACATGATGATCATCAAGGCTATTTACAAAATTTATGTTACCAATAGGATGGATATATTTTAATGCTAAGATCATCTACATAGTTCTTTAAAACTTTAAATATTAAATAACATTTAAATTCATAACTCAAAACAGTGCTAAAGGATAAAACTGATCATTTTCTATATTAATAACAATTTCAACAATCCCCATAGGGAGACAAAAACCAACAATGAATTGCCTCAAGTCATGGTTAACATCTGTCAGTCTCCATTTTGGATTAGCTTATTCGTCTGTACAATAGACCACCACTGCTGTTTAAATATGATTAGAAACACAGAGATTCACTGGATGACACATTTCTTTATTACAAGCCAATAAATAATAAAATCCCAGCTTCTCAAACATAAGTATTACCTACTAAATACCTCTGGAGTTTTTGTCTGACAGAACAAGACTAATGAAGACATCAGCTTGAGCTCAGGAAGTTAATTGCACTTTTCCACTTTTCTGCTGAATGAGTAATTGAACAAAAAGTTATAAGATAATCAATAATAAAATAAAAGAAAGCTTTATTCTTCATTATGCCTGCTATAGGCTGCCTGAACGTGTAATAATCAGGGTAAATAATATTTTGTCCTTGTGGCAATAAACAGACTTGAGAAGTGTTTACTACTACATTACCTGTTTTGGGGCTTGATCAAAAGGTGACACTGCCAGCTGTGCCAGGAACTGGGTCTTAGTCATTTGTAAATGAGGGTCAGATGTGTCCTTGGATGTGATGGAGGTTAGCTGTATAAGGGAAGCTGACTGTTTCTCTTCAGTGGGTGGATCATTAAGTTCTGCATTGCTTATTATTTCTATGTCCAAATTACAAGCAGGTTCATCGGCTGAATGCTCAGTTGTGCTGAATGCTAGTGCTAATTCCTCAAAAGCTGGTGCTGACACCTTGGACGGAGATGGCTGCACATATCCACTTTCGGATAACTCTTCAAAAATGGTGCATGTATCAGAGGATTCCGATGGCTTCTCCTGAATGTCATTTGGCTCTACTGACATCTGAGAGGCATCTTTTAAACTGGGACAAATGTCAGTGGATAACGCTGACATCTCAGGTGGCTGTGTTAATAGGACCACAGATGATGGTTTCTCTTCTGAGGTACTTTCTTTCAACATGGCTTGAGTTTCAGATGGCATGGCTGAAAGCAGTTTTGAGACTGAAACTGATTCTTTGGTTGATACTGGAAATGGCAGTCTGGTTAATCTGACCACAACACAGTGATTCTGTACTGCAGCCGGTTGTACCCCTTGTAACATTGGAGCTGGCACTAGGCCATCTGACATATTTAAATTGGAACATGTTTCTTTGGGTGCTTTTATTGTTTCTGATACAGAGGCAGTTTGTTTGGAAGGCTCCAAATCGCTAGTTGTAGGATTCCTCTTTTGAGATGATACTGTAGCCACTTCATCTGAAGTTGTTGGTGCATCCATCTTGGCTGTGAACCCCTGTGATGAAGAACTCACCTGCAGTGACTGCACCATAACAGGAAAGGCTGATTTTGAGTACCCCGGCTTTGTTGCAACAATTACCTGTGGCTGAACTTTCGTCGATTTTACAGCTGACACAATTCTTGGATATATAATTACTTTTGAGTGTAGTGGAGTCTCTGACTGTGTTGAGGTGGCAGCTGACTTTGCAGGGACAACAGGAAGAAATTTCCTGGAGGTAACATACATTGTTGTCCGAGGGACAGAGGAAAGGGAAGATGACCCAAGAGGTAAGCTTGCAGCCCTAGAGGCTTGAGGGAAATTGGTATTCTGAGCAACAACTGTTGACACAAGGGATGAAAGCTGGGCTGGGGGCTGTGATGCAGCTTTATGAGGCATTGATGAGGATACTGATCTTGGCATGACAATTATTTTATGAGGTGTGGTGTTACTCAGATTAGTTTGTGCCACCACTGTTTTCAGAGAATGCAGAGTGTGCTTCTGGAGGGATGCCAGACCTGTTTGAGTCGCAACAGTTGATGATAGCATTGGCGATCTAGTAGTTTTAGGAGTGACCAAATGCTGTTGGTTTGGTAAGACAACTGTGATGCGAGTCCGAGTATCACTGGCTGGAGCATGACGAGTAGCACTAACTGTCTCCATCATTGACTCTGATGATGTGGACAACTCTGTTATAGGTAGTTTGCCTGAAACTTCATGAATTTCAACAGGAAGTGGCGGCATCTGTGGCTTGTCTGGGATCTCATCCACAGTTTGTAAGGTACTCACATGGGGAGCACACTGGGTTTGATGTGGTGCTGCCACAGTCTGTGGAGAGTGGAATGTAGTTCCTACATTCGACTGATTCATGGCCTCAACTAGTAGCATAGCATCCTGAAGAGTTGCAGAGGTGCGGCGTTCTCTGGACTGAACTGATGGTGTTTGTGGTGACTCTGTTTGTGGAGTTTTCAGCGTTTCTTTTGTGGACAAAACCTCGTTGGATGAAGCTTGAATTGCCTCTTCTTCCACTTCTATGGAAAGCTGTTGAGATGTTTTTTCTTTTTCACTGGAGCAATTTCTACTCAAAGGTACTGCTGGAATATGAAAGAAATCTGACCTTCTGTTCCCCAAATCCTTTAAAGCAGTGTTTACACCCTCCTGGACTGATGGAACAATAAGGGATGAAGTCTTTTTAGGTTTAATTGGACATGCCTTTGGAGATTCCAATGCAGTGGTATCAACTTCTTCCACTCTTATTAAAGAGGAAAGCTCTGTTGATGATGACTGAAGTATTTCTTTCACTGGTTGCTTCAGATGTTTTGCTCCCTTTGGTGGCCTTCCTCTTCTACGGTTTATTGGCTGGGGACATGCTACTTCTTTTATTGATAGTATGGGTTCTGCCAAGTGTTCCTCTGTAGAGGGCACATCTGCATTTTGCTGCAGAGTCGCATCAGTTTGATCATTTACGGATGTTTCACCCTCTCCCTGTAATTGTTGGGAGATCACTGATGGCTGCTGTTTTTCAAGAGACTCCGCCTCTGACTGGTGCTGAGCAACCATCAATGGGCATTTTTCAGATGTTGTAGGCTTAGTCTGTGTCCCTATTTCTGTTATATTCTGATTGACTTCAGATTCTTCTTCCATGTCACTTATTGCAGCAAGTGAGATGACTAGGGAATGCTCTGGTTCAGATGACTGGTTCTGAATTTCTTGTAAACCATTATCTTCATCTTTCTGAGGCACAGGTATTTCTCCATCTGAACATTCCTTGTTAATGAGAGGTCCGTCATTTTCAGTTCCACAGGTATAGGTTTGTGATGAACCTAGCCACAGCAGTAACAAAGATTTGATTTTAGATTTTGATTTGATTTATTCTTTCAAGCATATAAAACAGTTGATATAACAACACACATTTTTACACACAATCCAATATCAATTTGCTTATACCTAGTACATGTCATGGAAGATACATAAGCAGTAAACCCAAACAAACTTTGAAAGGATCTATTATATTTAACAAGTTATGAACCTTTAGTTAGAAAATAAAAGTCAATCAATTCCTCACCTGCTTCATCACACAAGACTTGCCCACAAGGCACAATGAGCTCATCTTCTTGCTTCAGCACAGACAGTGGAGAAGAATCATTGTTAGTTTCCTGTATAGGAGTGACACATACTGTATGTCAATGTCAAGATGACAAAAACAAGAGAATACATTTGTCAAGTGATAGAATACACACCCACCTCATCTTTCACTGTTATCAATGTCATATGAGAACTTGCATCTCTGTGAGCCACATAGTTGTGCTCCTGCAAACTGTAATTGATCTTCTCATAGCTGCGCTGTAGTTCTTGGTGTTGCAATGATGTCTCTCCGAGTGGTTGACACTGCTCCACCAGCATGACGCCAAAAGGAACAAGGTCTAAAAATAAACCAAATTTTACTTTACTTAAATATCACACACACACACAATTAAAGAAATGTGTGTATAAAAACAAGAGCTTACATGACAAAGGAGCCAGATGTAAAGAGGAGCCATGTACAGTATATCCACAAAAAATGCACACACCATTTTCAAACTTTATAATAAACACAAAGTGCAGCAAAATTCTATGTAGAATACATGTACAGTATTTGCATGCTACTGCTGGAATTCAATTCAGTGTGTTATTTTTATAGCACCAAATCAAAACAAAACTCATCTCAGGGCACTTTACATAGTAATCTCTAGACCTTACAGTATTATAGAGAAAAACCCAACAAGTTCCTATTGAGCAAGCACTTTGCAATAGTGGAGAGGAAGATCTCCATTTAACACAAAAAACCTCTAACAGAAGCAGACTCAGGTTGGGTGGCCTTGTGCTTCGACCGGTTGGAGCGAATGCATAGAGGACAAAGATGTACGTCAAGTAACAACAAACAAACAAACAAGCAAGCAAGCACTGGGCAGGTTAAAGTGGCTGGTGACGGCTCGTCAGGGCTGTCCTGAATGGCAATTTTTGGGCTTCTGAGCTTTGCTAGCAATAATTGGAGAACATCTGCTGGAGATCGCAAATGACGGCGGCCTTAAAAGTATGTTCGAGACAACAACTCTGCCGGTGTTCTGGATTAAAGTCATGACAGAATACCCTGAGATCGCCACCAGAGGACTGAAAACTGACTTTGATGTTATACTCATGTTATGTTGTTGGCGCAATGTTACGAGGAAGCTGCTAATAAAGTTGCATACAAGTACACAGTGAATTCACATATATTATTATATTTACAATATAAACAATCTACGTATGCACCCCCCAGGGGCCGCAGTAAAATTGTCAAGCGTTGACCGGTCCGCAGTGATAAAAAGGTTGGGGACCACTGATTTAAAACATGGTAAATCTTATTTCAATGTAGTGCTGTGTGTAGCGCATGTATTCACTCAGTCTGTCGGTGCCCCGTTCTATCACACAAACACACACGCACACAAAAACATGACAACCATAACAGCAGACCATCTGTGAACAGCTCCTCTTCTCCATGTCTGTTCTTTTAACATAATGCTGTCAGTCGCATATATCCAACTCTAACATGTTATTAGGGAGCTAGAAAGGCTGGCTAAGCTAACGTTAGAATACAGCTGTTGCTGACGTGAGCACGCTGTATAAAAGCATGGATGTACACCAATCAGGCATAACATTATGACCATCTGTATGCACTTCAATGCAACACTTCTGCCTTAACATCTGTGTTTATGAGGTGTTCCTAATATTCTGACCCTCTCATGTATGTCAATGTCAAAAAATATAGAGACACCTCTGAATATAATGTGGTCCAGTACAACACCACCTTTAACTATGACCTCAATAATGAACATATCATTAAATTTATACATTGATGACAATCTCACCAAAAACTGAAACATTTTGAGCTTCATAAACACAGATGTTAAGGCTGTAGTGCATACAGATGTACAGGTGGTCATAATGTTATTCCCGATCAGTGTATGTGGACTGCTCTGCAAGTGGATAAAGTTAATGCTTGTTATAAACTCTGACGCTGAATGTTTGCCTCCTCAGTCCAGGTGAATACTAAAAAATACACATGGGAAAGCTGGTCTGTCTGATCAATGTGATTAGTGATCCAAATGATTCATTTAAAATATTTATTGGTTTCATGTAGGGGTGGGAATATACACAAATTTTCATAAACTGGTACTCGCAGATTTTTTCCATATGGTAGCCCACTATCCAAGATGCGAATTAGAGCGTGCCTCAAGGGGTGCAGGGGCAACAACAACAGATACTGCTGAGATTTCAGTAAAGTTGGAAAGATTCCAAGTTACTGGATCAATGAGTCATAAGCGAATCGTTAAAACACATACGACACCTTTTAAAACCGTAGCAATGTAGACAACAGGCTACAGCCAAATTATCATCAGAACGAGCCATGGTCTATGCTGGAGATGGTCCCTGCGCACTCATCTCACAGCTGGCTGCACATAATAGATAATACATAGACTGCATGTCCCGATCAGCATCTTACAAGTAAAGTCAGTCCATGCACTGCTGTCATGAGGTGGTCTGTCTCATGCAGGGCTGTGTGATATTATAGCTGTTTGATGCTTCTTCGGGCAATAAGGTGAACATATCTTTTAACTTATGCATGAAGTTACAAAACCGTCACCCCACCCCTACCCCTTATTATTTCACCTTCTGTCTTTCTCGCACTGGTAAAGTTTGATATTACAAGATGGAAAACTTCAAAGTACAGACAGAACATGAAACCTGGGTAAAGATTAAAAGCACACTGAAACAGTATTAAAAAAAAAATTGATAATGAGGTCCTGAAATTTGACTCTGGTTTGAAAACAAATGGAGCAAGAAAAAGGGGGGTTATATAACTGAAAAAGTTATACAGCTGTATGAGCAGTGACGCCTGCAGCCTTAATCCTGTAAACACCGCGCACACCTTTTTTTTTTTTTTTATTATATTGCTCAACTTATACGTCACTGCGTCTGGCATTCATTGCATGATCAACATAGTGTGTAGTTTCAAATGTATGACCTGGGAATATGATGTCACACACCCCTGAACGTGATGCGCAGCTGTAACAGCAGCCACACTGACTTCACCTGTTGTCAGTAATGAAACATAATTGGGACATGCAGAGTATTGCTCATGAGCTGCATTCGTGTGTTACTTTGTGGGCTAATTATCGTGTGTGGATTGAAGGGTCTGATCAGTGATTCTCAAGGACCGGGTAGAGCGCAGCTTCTAGGTACAACGATGGTCACTGTGTGGAAAGTCGAAATGGGAGGTTTTGATGACAGAGGTTGTGGTTTTAAACACTACAGATTCAGAACAATCAGAAAGTGGCGTCCCCACACATTTCAGGTCTGCTCACACTGCCCTCCTCCGCAAGCTTCACGTGAAACCTGCAGAGTAAATGAGTGAGCAGAACAAGAATGATACACCAGTAAGTTTGACTTTGATCATTCTAGCTGCACTGAAAATAGCCACAGCAGTCAATACTACCAGAAGTTAACAACCAAAAGACAACACTAACATTCATGTCAAAGGAAACTAGTACATACTGTATGCTGACTTTAGACCAGAAGTAGCACAGCAAGAACATGCTGAATGTGCCTGGCTAAGGTAGTGACAATGAAAGGTAACACCACAAATTTCTTCCAGCATTTAAAAAACAAACAAACAAACAAACAAAACAACACAGTTGCCACCTGACCCTTATAATACTGGCTCGTGTTTTAATAAAATGCTCCTTGCTGTTGTCTCATACCGGATCAACATATCTGCCAACGTTGGATCAATACGGGGATGCAATCTGTCACTTTTAATGCTTACATTTTTTTGTGCACAGAGGTGAACACATCATATTACCAAGTAACACTAAACCAGTTTATAAAGGTTGTGAGATCAGAGGGAAATCATTTCATGAAAACAGAGGGCTGCACTCCTATAAAGGCTAAAAACTACTTTGACAGTTATCATACTCTTCAACTGCCTTTCAGACTCTGCAACATGCAGGAGACAAATGGCAGAAAGAAGAAAGCTGATAGTCCATCACCAAACTCCATCCAGCAAAAAAGAAATTAAAATCAGCAGTGCAGGATTCGTTTGGATATCAAAAATGAACACAGTAGAGAACCCCATTCCTCAGTGCAGATCAAAGTGTGTGCCACATTTATAACTTTAATCACAAACGTGAGCGTATAAGTGTGGGTCATAAAATGCATTATTGAAATTATTTTCCACATTGTTAATCTCCGACTTACAACAGAGCTCTCAGCGATCCTGATCTGACCCCAGAAACACATATGCAAACTTTCTCCGTCTGTGTGTGTGTGTGTGTGTGTGTGTGTGTGTGTGTGTGTGTGTGTATAAAGGTACAAACAGGGGCAGTCTGGCTGTGCTGTCATGCACCTACAGTAAATTAGCAACTATTTTGATAATCGTTTATCCTACACTCACCAAGCCAGAATAAGAATTTTTGCTGCAACAGACGACATGTCTAACTACTGTTGAGCTGCGCGATTAATCGATGTTATCGATTAATTCGAATTTATGTTTTATGTCGATGTTGAAAAACAAATATTGATTTTCACAATTTTACTTTGGTTTGTCACAGCGACCTTCCGTAGTTCTGCAACATGGCAGCATGCTCCGGAGAATTTTCTTCCAAGAGAGGCACGGTTTCTTCCGTTGTATGGAAATGGTTCGGGTTTGCAAGTTCAGACCTTGAACAAGCTAAACCCCGCTGTAAAATATGCCAGAAGTATGTGGCAACTAAAGGAAGCAGCACGACGAATTTATTCCAGCACTTCAAACAAAACCACATTGCTGAATGGGAGGCGTGTGTGGCGCTGCGAGCTAATGCTAAACAAGATAGCAGCAGCTACAAAACACCGGCTAAAAAGCTGGTAACAATAGCAGCCTAATTTTCCCACCATATACCTTATGACAAGCATGGGCCTCGATGGAAAGCCATTACTGATGCTGTGACGCGTTACATCGCTAAAGATACTGTGCCCATATACACAATCGAAAAGCCTGGATTCATTAATATGCTGAAAGTAATTG